AAGGAGTTTGGTTATAACTTAGAAATGGGTGACAATGAAAACCACCTAAAATGAACAATCTGGTTTTAAGGTGCCATAAACCCACCTCACACCTTTCACCATAGCAAAAGGAGCTTGGTTAAAAATGGGTGACAATATGTGAAATTGCCCAGTTTTTCCCTTTAGCCCCTTCCCCATTCCCCCTATTACTAACCTATGTCTAATCTAATTAAATTCATCATCTTGTTATATACTGTCCACTATGAAAATGTATAACATCACAAGTGATTTAAATGGTGCCTCAAAGCTGCAGCTTCATTGGAAGCCAACTTTTATTGAAAACAAGTTTATTTTACCTGGCATTTTAATTAAACATATTTTAATCACAGTAGATTCAAATACAAAAGATTCATTACAAATGACTATTAATACTTTACTTATCTAGTTATCTGAAATAATTGGCAAGGTTTTTAACACAGTATTCTATTATTCTTACACTATGCTTACATACTGTATATAGACACATACTATCAACATGGTGTTTGTCTATCAGGGCCTGAAATAACATTCCCAAAATTCCCGATCATGGTGATTGATCATGGTGATTGATCATGGTGATTGGCAGTCATGACTTTCCCTGCTTTTCAGGTTGAAAACCCTGCTTTTCCGCTGATCATGAGCAATTTCTTGCTGATTATTGATTGGTAATCAGTTGTTATTTCAAGCCCTGGTCTGTTGAAAAATTTAACTGGTTCAAAATGCAATGGACCCATCTCAATGAGATCAGACCGATATTTGGCATCAGCTTTTGTCTACAAAGCTTGAATGTTTGGGGAGGGGGGAGATTATGGGAATTAAGGTGGTGATCTTGAAAGGCTAAGTTTGGTTGATGATGGCGAAGGAAGTTTTTTCTCATGTCAGTGTTGTGTACAAGAGTGAGGTTATTGTTATTGGAGGCGAGAGTGGTCTTTTTGCAAGCCGATATATTTAACTTTAACCTCATGTTCCAGAAAATTTATTAATAAAGTTTCCTACAGTATGTTAGGAATAATATCCTGGTGAATTTGCATCATGACCAAGCCAAGTCATTTAATTTAATTAGTCTTCAACCATAGTGCTTCTTCGCTTATACTGTATAAAAAGTGACCTACTGTATAGACCTTTCACACTTGCACTGTAAACATTTAAACTATCAATGTCAAATTTATAGGTCATTGGTACCTGTCAATGCTTAGGAAACAGTGCTATACAGGCAATTGCCAGTTGATTTAGATCTAAAAATATAACCAAAGATTATATTATTATTATTATCTTCATAAAGTACATTTGTAGAGCTATTATCAGTCAATCAATACTCTATAAAGCATGTACACAATAAATATTTTTTATCCAACATGATCAAATATTTGAAATCAAGTTTCTGCCACTTGAGTTGTTTTAATTTTATACACATATATAAAATGAATATGTATGCAGTATATGAAACTTTGGACCTATAACCTCGCACAATTATGCAAATCGTACGTTCAATTCAACGATTTATTGTTCAAAATTCAAACCACTTTACCTTATTGCCATACACCTCTTAGTAATCTCTTGAAAATATATTAGACGACGAGAAATCAACACATCATAGTTTCGGCCAAGACAATTTTCTTGCATCCATCGAATTTATCGGCTTGAATATTCTCCACAGAACACCAGAGAGCATCCCTTATCGTAACAAATAACGATATAACCCTTTCGAAATCTTTATTTCGAAAATAGTTCAACAAATATACTAAGATTAAGCGAAATAATTCGCTTGTAAAATTGTACGGAGCTGCAACAGAGCTACCAAGTGCACAATGCTTCCAAATTGAAGATTAGAAGGCCAATCAGAGGAGATGTTCTTTAACTCTTTTGCGCAAATTGTCCAATCAGAAGCTGCTATCTATTTGCAGAATAGTCAAAATAGTCAAAATTTCGCAATCGTTAGTCAAAATAGGTCTGACCAATCAACATGCCTGTAATGTGTAATCTGAGCAAATTTGACCAATCAAATCACATGAACTAAAATGCAGAATAGTCAATTTTCATTTCAATACCGCTTATTTGACTTATCGTTTGACTAATCAATCGCTGGCTCAATGTGCAAAAACTGATCGAAGTTTATATGCTGGAGTGTGATGTAGTTTTGATTGCATGATGAGAAATGAAGAGAAGCTTTTGCGCTGGGAAAAAAATTCAAAAACCTTAGTCCAAACTTTTTTATATGCCTTTTTTTTACGTTAGTCGCGTGACTAATCTGACTACCCCTAGATCCGCCCCTGACACGGCCTACCTGGAAACTAATCGATAAGGGTTGTTGCTCTCGAAAAAATGCTGACTCGACAAAGCTATACCTGCAGGATAACTACTCAGCACAACGTGTGACGTCATTGGTTGGGTAAGTATGTTTAATGAATACTAAACTGAAGTATAGCTCAGTTATTATGAGCCCAAATCAAATGAAATTTTGCATACTGATTGTACATGATGAGACGCATTGAAAAACACTTCTAATTTTGTTGCCAAGGTAACAATGTCGTTCCCAGGCCCCTTGTCCCAATTTTATAAAACAGCATTATTCATGGCACTTATAAGAATAAAATAATATCAGAAGTATGTGTACCATACCTATGCATGCCAAAAGTTTACTTGCATGATAATAATTCGAAAATGACATACACATAGATAAATGCAACTAGTTATTCAAAATCAGTGTAAGGGGCCTGGGAACGACTGTGTTGCCTTGACAACAAAATTAGAAGTATTTTCCCATGCGTCTCATCATGTACTATCTGTATGCAAAATTTCATTTGATTTGAGCCAATAATAACTGAGTTATGCTTCAGTTTACTATTCAATAGACATACTTACCCTTACCCAACCAATGACGTCACACGTTGTGCTGAATCAGCAATTTATATTTTGCACATTTTTGCGTATAACTTCGGAACCAGATGAGATAGAATAGAGCAGTAAACGGCCAATCGGCTTATTTTTTCATGCTCTTTCAGATAAACTGATAAAGCAATAAAAATTTGTATTGCCAATACCTTTTAAAAAATGCTTCCTTCCACGTCCTAAGAGTCGCCAGTTTAATTTACAAGTTTCACGCCGCTTTTTATATTCAAGATTATGTATAAATTTAATTGCTGACGTGACGCCGGTGCCATTCAGTTTTACAAGATTCCGCAGGCCCTCGCCAGATTGTGTATGACCTTCCCATGATGCAACAAGGGCCTGCGGAGGAGGCAGCTATGTGACATTCAATTACGACGAAGTCGCTTAATTTAAATTTTCTTGATACAAGATTTAGTCGGGCAGATAGAGGAACAAAAATTATGGAAAACTTACCATATCGACGGGCAATTCTATTTTGCGTTCATCTTGTGCCCTAAATTGCCCTGAAGGCTAGTAAGTACGTTTCTGTTTGTCGGCGGCGTTAAAATTTCTTGTGGGCTCCTGCCGACACGCTTTTCTTCGAATTTTGTATTAAACTCTATTAAAGTTAAAAAATGTGAAATTTCAAATGCATTGCTAACAAAAATGACTTACATAATTTGAAAGCTTGCAAAAACTACATATAAGACATTTAAACGGTTACCAGGGTTTTTCAAGTTCTTCATGTTTTTCCAAGTTCTTCTTGAGTTACGAGCTGTTGAAACCGTCTTTTCAAACTAGTACCCAGGATTTATGCGATTTTGGCTTATTTTCACATTTGGAACAGCAATAACTCGAAAACCACTTGAAAATCCCAAGTAACCATTTTAAAAATGTCTCATATGTAATTTTTTGTAAGCTTTCTATTGATGCAAGTCATTTGTATTAGAAATGTATCTGAAATTTCATAATTTTTAACTGTAATAGAGCTAAATACAAAATTCGAAGAAAAACATGTTGGCAAGAGCGTACAAGCTATTTTAATGCCGCCGACAGGAAAAATGGAATTGCCCCTCGATATGGTAAGTTTTTTCCTGTCTGCCTGACTAATTGCTTAACCAAGAATACAGGTTTTCCACTTCAAGCGTACCGTACCGAAACGTATCAAAAACGTTCTTAAATGTTGATTGGTTAGTACTTCCGTAGTACGCCAAAAAGTTGACTTGCGACGAACTTTTTATTTTGATACGCGAATACACCCAGAAGTACGTGGATTTATAAACCTCTTTTCAATCTGCGCATGCTCACCAGTACGTTTCGCTACGATACGGGCGAAGTGGAAAACCGGCTTAACTGTGTCAGTTCGAATAGAGAGGTTCACATTTGACTTCCACTACCACTACCTCTCACTGGCTTAGTACTCATCTGATTGGTTAATTGGATTTATAATATAGCATTTGTAAATTCTGAACGCTGATTGGAATGATCAAAGGATACAGCAATCCAATAATTCGAAAGTAAAGCGGTAAAAACCTCGACCAGCGCAAGCCAGAGTATATACCTGTAATCTAAACTCGCGTAAATTGTATAGGCGTGTAGTTACTTAGCAAGTTTATTTTCAAATTATTGGACGCAAGCCGAATCGCCTTGGTTTCAGGTATACAAAAGACAAATAGTTATCGCTATAAACCAGTGCAATGTAAGCTGTCTGCGCAACTGTCTACCTCCACTTCCCCTATTCAATACCGAAAGTCAATGCTTGTGGAATAAAGGAACAGTCATTCTGTCGAACTAACATTAAAAGAGGGGTTCATATTTGACTTCCGGTACCACTACCTCTCACTGACTTACTGACCATTTGCGTAATAGACTAAATTTTGATCTAAACAAGTCTAGACAAAAATTTCATCACAGCTTGAAAGAGCATCACAAAATTAGTAATACTCCAAAGTTTCGTTGCGAAATGTTGTAAAATGCGGATAATATAGCTGCACTGCGAAGTTTGCAATTTTCAGTCATTTTAGATTACAAACGGGAAATTGACAGCCTCAAAAGCGTATTGGACAGCTTTCAAGCTGTGATGAAATTTTTGTCTAGATCAAAATTTAGTCTATTACCCAAGTGGTCAATTCGGCATCTGTGATTGGTTAATCGGATGAATGAAACGCATCTGATTAGTTGATATTCCCTTAGTGGCAGCGGTAGTGATAGTGGAAGTCAAATCTGAACCTCTCTATTGTCCAGGAAAAGGAAAGCATGAATATGTAAAATGAAGTTGGAATAAATTAGTTATTAGAAAGCTTTAGATTTGATTACGAGTACGAACATAGCCCCGTTTACACTATACCGGATTGCTTCGGAGCGTAGCGATTTTCATACCGGATTCAGCTGCTGTTTACACTACGCCACAGTAATCCGGTACGCGACGCGGAGCAAAAATCACTCCGCTTTGGAGGTGATATGAAAAGTAATCGGGTATGTTTTAACATTGTCGCCTTTATTTGCTCGCTTTTACATTACTTTATAGCTGTTGGTAAACTTCCGTCTACGCATGCGCGAGAAACGTAAGCGTGGAGTGCACGTGAGCGCGGGTTGATCGCGTGACTGAATTCTAAAAACAAACACCAGTTGCTAAAACTACTCGTGTTATGAAGTCGTTTTCTTGGGTTTTTTTTTAGTGTTTCTACGCTCACAATTTTAGGCATTTTCGACTTAGAAGTGTTTGCTTTGGAATAAGAACGTGAAAGTAGAAATAAAAACTTTGTTGCAGCAGTTTAATTTCGCCGTACAAATATACCTGTTTTATATGCATATCTTTTTCGAAGCGGAGATATACAAGTGCAAATTGACCTTCTTTAAATTCGTACTCGCCCTATTCGTACTTTTATCCATGGAGAAACTATTTGACTTTAAAAATAAGCTGGAATTATGGAGGTGATATAGGCTAGTTTCTTTGCAAACAGTGATTCAGTGCTCGGTAGTGTACTTGTTGTATATGAAGAAAAGTCTAAAATGATTTCAACATCCATCAACAAATAGGAATCGCGCTTATTACTACTCGTTAGACGATAGACAATTAATTTAATTCACTAGGAAGCCGTTCTTACAAAATTAAAAATATTCACACATTAAAGATATGAAAATGTAGCTTGCATTACAAAGAAATGTTGGCTTACCTAAGTTATACCTTACACGTCGATTAAAGTCAAGTAAAGCCCTTTCAAAGACGCGTGCCACATTAAACTACAGGTCACATGGCGGTAGAGAACTCGACAAAGTATTCAGGATATTTCATAGCCAGTTTAAACGCCGGTGAGCACTATCCCTGTGAATTATGATGCCCAACACACCGGGTAACAAAAATTTACCACTTTGGTCGGCTGTTCCAAGTACACTTTTAAGATACAAGGTCCGATTATATCATGTTCTTCGAAACATCTGCTCAAAACAGTTCAACATAAATATCGCCACTCATCTTCTTCGTATGAAAATATAAGTTTTCCCTTCAATTTCTTTGCTTTAAAAACAGTCATTAGGTTGTTGACGAGATAGTCTATAACTTCCAACAAAAAAAGCAAAGATGCTTTCAAAAACCAGTGAATCACAATGATGTAAACTTCAAAATCCTTAGAAATTGTAAGCAAAACATCGAAAAGCAAATTTGCGGGAAAAAGCTCTCGAGCCCGCACTATTTTCATGCAGCGTCGACGAAAGTCCCCTCTGTTGCTGTTGGTAACAGGTGGGAAATTTGTCTGCGCATGCGCTAAATTTTGCGCGGTATAAGAGAAAGAGACTTGGGGCGAGTAAATACAGTAATTTGATTTTTGAGCGTTTTATTTGCGTTTTTGCCTCGTTTTTTTTGCTAACCAAAAAATTGTTAATCCATTGCATTGTTGGGAAGGCGAGGAAGGTATGACAACGTTCACAGGCTAAAAATATTTATAAAATTGCAACTTTTACATAACCTTGTATATCGGAACTGCCTCGGATTCCGACGGAAATGTCCAATAATTCCTACTATTCCGTATTTTTAGATGAATGAATTATCTCCCAAAATAAAGTACATGTTTTAAGGAGTAGTTTAAACCATATTTGGTTTTGAGGCTCTCGGCTAGATTTTAAAATATTTTTAAAATTTTTTTTATTTTATTGTGCTAACCTTAATCCCCATAAATCACCCCGTATTAAATTGGAGATAGATGGAAACGTATTCGCATGATTTCAAAACTGCTTATATTTTCTGAATCAATAGACTCTAATCTTTCAACGAATATGCTTTTACGAACAGTATTAGCAAACACATGCAAAAGTGGAATATTCAGAGGCACCTATTCAGACTACTACAGACTACATTTACTAGACCGTATTTTTATATGAACAATACTTTGATTAGTGAATTAAGAAATCTTTGACGAATCATTTAGGGATAGTCTCGTTTTGAGGCTCTCGACTAGATAAATCTAGATTTTTTACAATCTTAATTTGAAAATTTAGTTTTTCCTATTTTTAGCAAAATCACGAGTAGAAAAATGCGTTAAAAACAAATTTTAAACCCACCCTGAGTTTATTTCTTTAATTTCATCTGTCCAGGGAGTGAAAACAACTTGCATCTTCGAAAAAAGTTAAATTTCGTCAATATTTCGTCGTATAAATAAATAGTTCATAATTGTCCGATTTCAGTTTAAAGTCTTTTATCCAGGACATTTTCAATAGCCTTTGAATAAACGAACTTAAATTCTTGCACAACCACTGTTTTCTTCCCAAACGAGAAGCCCAAAAACTTGCTTTTGCTCATTTTAATAATTTAAAACAAAATTTTCGCTGGCGCCCGCAATTTACTGACCAGCGACAGCAAATTTCCCACCTGTTGCTGTTTGTTGTTTCGCCTTACAACCGTTTACTATATTTCTGGCGAAGACAAATAAAGAAAACGATAATAACAATGACTTCTCGCTTTCGAAAGAGCAAAATTTTTTTTAAATACTCATCAATTTTAGATTAGAGTGAAACGAAGCAACGTCTGGTGGTCAAGCTTTTTAAACAAAACTATACTTTACAAAGAAAACGTGTGTTACTTCTTGTTTTTAATAAATTTTAGTATATTGGCAAAAAGAGTCACTTGTTTCCATGGCGATAGTGAGACATGAGCTGGCAACAAAGCGAAGCGGCATGCATATATAGTGTAAACACGGAAACAGCCTTGTTTTTTTACTTCGGAGTGGAAATTAATCCGGTATGAAAAGTAATCCGTTATAGTGTACACGGGACCTACGACATTCGTTCACCTGGATACACCCTATATATTCTTAAGCCATCTTCTTATATGCTATCGTGTGCCGATGCCTTATAAATCCATTTCCAAATTGACAACTGTTTTTAAAGATTCGCAGTAAAACAAGCACATAATTTATATACTACGAGATAATGGCGTGCGTACATACATACTGGCGCAAGAAGAGGGTGAGAATGCATGCAAATAACGAATCTCGAAGTCGTACTCGTAGTCAAATGTAAACCTCTCTATTAATACGTATACTATCGACTGTATCAATTATTTGTCACAACGCAAGTAAGTGCGGTTCATAATGTCGTTTTAATAGCACATCACGTCATATTCCATTCAGAGCCAACGGGAGTACTTCTGGAACTAAAAGAGCAAGCAGAACACTACTGAAATAAGACAACAGTAATCTGACGTTTTCTCAGCAAAGCCCTTTTGTCAGAGGACTCGCAGTTATTATTTTTATTATTATTATTATTATTATTATTATTATTGATGATTTAAAAATCTTGACACGCTAGCCAACAGCATTGCAATGAGGATTGTTTTTCATTGGGCCTTATGTATACAGTAATAAAAACTGCCCTCGGAACTCGATACTTTATCCATTGAGATATTGCATGTATAAACTACTCCAAGGCTTCCGAGAATGGGAAATCAGTCTCCCGAAATAAAATCTACCGATGTAATCATTCAGCAGTACACGCGTTTTAAAGGCTCCTAGTTTTCCTACCATGAATCGACTAAATCTTAACGTCTTTCACGCACCTGTTCGTTTCTGTTGTGTTAAGTTCAGTATAAAGTTCAGCTTGACTTCCTGATGCTGATGAACGTCCTTCAAATTCTTCATGTCTTGACGCGGCAATAGCATCCATTCTACTGCACCACATGCTAAGTAACGACGCTTTAGATCCACCTAAAACATAGCAACTCTAGAAAATCTGCAATGCTATATTACTGTTATTTATTTAATTATTTTCCATAAGGTACGCTGCCCGGGCTGAAACTCATCCCGGGCTGAAATTCTGTGTTTTAATAGGATTTTATCCTTAGGCTTAGGCCAGGCTGAAATTTCAGCCCGGGAAACCGAGATGAAATTCAGCCAGGGCTGAAAACTCTCCATGTAATCAGCCCCTTATGTATCAGTCAATTCCAGCTGTGCCCATCCCCCCGGGCCTTCGCAGCTTCCCTAATCCCGGGGGTGGGGCTATTGCCGAAATTTTTCAGCCCGGGGGTGGGGACTTAGACGTTTGGCAGACATGGCAGATTTCGCTGGAAAAGATACTGAATTCGTTTGCAAATGGCTTGATACTCATGCTTTGGGATGGTCTTTCAGTTCCATTGTCTTTGATCGTTGATGAGTAAAATCCTTTTCTACATGAAATAGTTTTTCTCCAACAATGGACAATGATCACTATAAAAAATTATCTATGAGTGCGCCAGACACCGGACGCGATTCGACAATGCGACGCGATTTTTTAGTTTTAGAAAGTTAATGAAACTGCCAATGCATGAGAGCAAATTTTGAAAGATATGTAGACCAAATAACTCAAAATGTTATAACGCTTCTAAATATTTAGAAAGTTTAAACTAGGATCAAAGTTTATATCGGTCAGTAAAAATCGAAAAATCGTGTCGCGTTGTCGAATCGCGTCCGGACCTATAAGTAAAGACAATATTTTCAAAGGTTGACATTAATATTATCATAGGTCTAGCTACAATCTCTTGCAAAATAAAACGTGCCATCATGATTTTGTAAGGCTTATCCCCCTTTCCCCCATGCAATGTTGCGATTTGAAGTCGAAATTGACAAGGAAGGCCTGAAACGGTGCTATTAAATAATCACTAACCAACATTGACAAGGGTGCGGGAGCATGGAGTTTCTCGTTTATTTTGCATAAGATTGTCTAAAATAGGAACGTTTGGAATGCACACTTGGCGCAGCTCTGATTGTGTATTGATGCGAGTGCAGATTATTAGGGCCTACTAATAAAGGAAGTAAAATTTACTGAGAATCATTCAAAAATATTAGCACACATGTTTGAACAATAACACCCATGTATTTTTTGTTTATTTCTGGATAAACGTTATAATATATGTAACAAAATAACTTGTCAATAACTATATGTACATGAAACGGAGATGATGAGAGTCAGATGGCGTTGTTTTCAGTTCTTCTCGCAAATCCCGCAAGATGAACAGGTGAATATCCTGTCATGTCCGCGTTGCTTTGCAGAGTTTATTCTTCATTGAATATTTGAACTGTCTATGTTTATCGGACATATGTTTTAACAAAAATGCATGCAATTAGCATACATTACAAATGCATGCAATGAGCATACTAATCAGTGTTCATATGTGCACGTGACGGGTCACCATTTAAAAATCTCAAAATTACATACTTTGTTTCTTTTCTACAAGGTTTGTTGACTAATTCACTTAAACATTATAAGTTATTCGACAAATGCTGGAATTTGGAAACGATTTGAAGTGTTGTATACGCAGAATAAACGACGGATAACCACTGTGATCCGAAGATATGAGAGAATACATATTATGTAATATTTTCTTTTGGTTTGAACGGGTCACCGTTACACAATCAGCTCGTATAATGTTAGTTTCTTAAAAAAAATGGAAATGCTAACTTTACCATGGTACCACGCTACAAACCTCAGATCTTGTGTATTTAATGTGTGGCCAGCGTACTCTCTTGTGTTGTTTTGGCACTTGTTTTAAACAGTGACCCGTTATGGTGATGCGTTAATTATTCAGAATCGTGCATTTCTGGGTGGGTGCATGGGCTGTTTGAACAATGGGCTATTCCATTTAATATCCGTACCCCCCCTGTCGAGGATACATGTTTTTCATAGTTATACCCCTGAAGAATTCCAAGCTCAAAATCATTTACCCCTGAAGAATTCCAAGCTCAAAACACTCTACCCCTGAAGAATTCCAAACTCAAAACACTTTACCCCTGAAGAATTCCAAACTCTGAAAAATTTCGATCTCAAATCTCTTTACCCCTGAAGAATTCCAAGCTCGAATCCTTTACCCCTGAAGAATTCCAAACTCAAAACACTTTACCCCTGAAGAATTCCAAGCTCAAAATCCTTTACCCCTTAAGAATTCCAAACTCAAAACACTGTACCCCTGAAGAATTCCAAACTCAAAGTCCTTTACCCCTGAAGAATTCCAAGCTCAAAACACTGTACCCCTGAAGAATTCCAAACTCAAAATCCTTTACCCCTTAAGAATTCCAAACTCAAAACACTGTACCCCTGAAGAATTCCAAACTCAAAATCCTTTACCCCTGAAGAATTCCAAGCTCAAAATCCTTTACCCCTGAAGAATTCCAACCTCAAAACCTTTACCCCTGAAGAATTCCAAACTCAAAACACTTTACCCCTGAAGAATTCCAAACTCAAAACACTTTACCCCTGAAGAATTCCAAACTCAAAATCCTTTACCCCTTAAGAATTCCAAGCTCAAAACACTGTACCCCTGAAGAATTCCAAACTCAAAATCCTTTACCCCTGAAGAATTCCAAGCTCAAAATCCTTTACCCCTTAAGAATTCCAAGCTCAAAATCCTTTACCCCTGAAGAATTCCAAGCTCAAAATCCTTTACCCCTGAAGAATTCCAAGCTCAAAATCCTTTACCCCTGAAGAATTCCAAGCTCAAAATCCTTTACCCCTGAAGAATTCCAAGCTCAAAATCCTTTACCCCTTAAGAATTCCAAACTCAAAACACTGTACCCCTGAAGAATTCCAAACTCAAAACACTGTACCCCTGAAGAATTCCAAGCTCAAAATCCTTTACCCCTGAAGAATTCCAAGCTCAAAATCCTTTACCCCTGAAGAATTCCAAGCTCAAAATCCTTTACCCCTGAAGAATTCCAAGCTCAAAATCCTTTATCCCTGAAGAATTCCAAGCTTAAAACACTCTACCCCTGAAGAATTCCAGGTATCCTCGACAGGGGGGGTACGGATATTAAATGGAATAGCCCAATTATGCTTTATACCTGACACAGTCACAGAGATGGTATACATAATGCATTGCATGTTAATATTTCACAAATAGTTATTAAGTATATATATAATTTTGGTAGTTAATCGGCGTGTTTATACCGCTTTGGTTTGTTCACCAAATACGCGCAGCCATATCAATATAGACGAATATTATTTTTTAATTAACAATCCGTTCATATTATATTGTACGTGTTTTATTGTCAAGATATACATTGGCGATATAATTATATACAACGTGAAGGTACTTGGCAGTTTGATAGTTCTAATACCTTAAACGCTGTCCTTTCCTTTTAATGATTTCTTTCACGCGATTTGGCATTGAGGCAATTGTGTTATTTATTACTTCTAGGGGTAATGATTGAATTGTAAAGACAACTCTATTTTTAAATTCCTCGCATGTTTCCTTCGTGATTTGCGACCTTATCGCTTGCTTACGCAATGCGTCTGAAACTAGTTTAAAAATATTCTCAATAGGGTTTAAGTCAGGACTTCTCGGGGGTATTTTTAGAAGTTCACAGTTTGTACGGTCCATAGCTGCGCGAGCCATTGCTGAGTTTTGACTTGGATCTCCGTCTTGTAATCATAATCGCTTTAGGCTTTTATCTGCAGTGCCAAACATGCTTTCAAAGTTCACGTCAATAAAATTGGCAAAATAACGGCCATCTAACTTATCATAAGTTTTGCATATGACCACGCCCTTGTCATAACTTATAGCTACCATCAGCTATTCGACCACCAGTTCCTGTTTTTTGTCCTTTCGCAGTACATCCTGGCGTTAGTCCTTCGCTTCTCTTTCGCCATACTCAGTCCCTGCTCTGCCTTTGGGTGCCAAGGCTTGATCCAAGAGATCTCTCTTATACGCAAATCCCGTTCCGTCGGGGTAAAACGCAATATCTTGAGTCCACACGTCGTGACAATATTCATTTTGCATTCTCCGTGCAAAAATTATTCTCTTTTTCATATCAGCCTTCGTTAACAGACCTTTCTTCCGAGCTTGTAGATAATAATAGCCCTCTTTATTTAGGAAACGTGAAATTGTACTCTCTGAAATGTCTTTTCCACAAATGCACGCGTTCTCCATCAGTCTCTTGATCGTGAAATTACCCTCCTGCTCTCTTAGGACCTGGATCGATCGTCGTAGTTTTCGTTCCTGGCGTTTATTTAGTTTTCTGGGTCTACCTCTAGTCTCTCTGCGCGTTTTCTTACATCCGTTACTGCTCATATCCACTTTGCTAATCCTCCACACAGTTGCCCGAGAAATATTACATTCTCTCACTACTTCCCGAATGGAAAGCTTTGAAACCTCGACAAATAGTACAACAGAGCTTTTGTCTTGTGGTCAATAGCCACACTGAATTATTCCTTTAATCTTTATCTTTTAAAGTACGATTGTTCAAGTCCTAGTAATAATGTGATGCTTATATATTATTTTATTCCGTTTTTTGGTTCATTACCTAACCTTCGAAACGTGTTGATGTACGCAAACGATGTCATTCGCAAGCGTCTAGATAAAACGTGTCCAGCGTCATAACTTTCCACACCTACAGTACTTGACATAGTATGTGCAGATTTATTGTTGAAATACAGTAGATGCGCTGAAGTTAGGGTTGAGAATTTATACAGTGTTGCATTAATATAAAAGCATTTTTATCCTTGTTGTAGAACTTCTTTTTTGTACTTTGCATTTATATTGAATTATAATGTGCAAATCAACGTGTACTAAACAGTTAATATTATTGCCCGGGGGTGGGGATATAGACCCAATTTGTTTGCCCAGGGGTGGGGCTTTAGCACAGTTATTCTTTCCCTGGGGTGGGGACATGGGGATGGGAAACCGCTGGAATTGACTGATACACTACGCCTAATGTGTCCGTCAAAGTATTCCACGTGGCACCTTCTAATAGCTTTGATCCACAACGATCTTTAGTAGGTTGTTGTTTTACACTGGAAAACGTGATAATTTACTGCGAACGTGTTAGTAAATATCTTGTACAACTGATTTTCGTCGTATGCAAACCAAAGACGAGCTAGTAAGGGCATGAATTGCTTTAAAGAAAAGCACCATGTCAAGGTATTCATGCCAGTAACAGATTGGCAGTAGATGGAGAGTTTGTAATCTAGATATATAACTAACAGAAACTAATAAAAGGAAGGTTAAGGATGTATTTTTGAACGTCTTTGAGGTCTTTCGAGTTTTATCATATATACGTTCGATAGATTGAGGTGTCCAGACTTCTGTTGCGTAACCTAGATGTAATCGCACCATATAGCTAAATAAATGGTTGTCCTTGTTAAAACACTGCGATTTGTTCGTGTGTTTCTTCTGGTGTAACTTAGCTATTCGTTTGATCATAGTTAATAGAATAGATGGTTTGGAAACTCATTATATAGAATAACAATATAACTCATTATCTATGTTAGTCAACGTTTATTCATAAATATGGTCCTTCACCGTCACGTGTGTATTGTATTTTTGCCCAACTAACCAATAGGGACGTTTTAGGAAAGTTACCTATACCCGTGACTTGAACAATAGGGTAAATTGAAAATTGCTATTGGTGGATTTGGCAAAAATACAATACACACGTGACGGTGAAGGAACATATTTATGATTGTTATATAGCTAGTGTGAACACCAAACGTGATTGGCTGATTTGTAGTCACGTGGCTTTAGATAAATGCAACGTATCCTGCCCGGGCAATAAGTGAAAAATCGTTGCCCGCCCCGACCGGCTACGTACATAAATAAACAAAATGGCGGCACAAATTTATACTATTTAAACTACTGTTTTCGTGGCTTTGTGTTAAAATAAAGAATGTAAAAGAGAAGAAAAATACATAACAGGCAACAGGATATGCTGCTGAAACCATTTAAGTAGGTTTTTTTAAATTTTAAACTCGTTTACGCTATAGAGTTTTTGTCATGAAATACAAATATTGTTGTATGAATGTTGTTCAATGTTGATATTTGTTTCGTCGCTATATAACAAAACACTTAACGTCTTTTCCCTCGGAAAATAGTTAGTTTTGTTTTCCCTCGAATCTCAATGTTTCCCTCGACTTCGTCTCGGGAAACATTGAGATTCTCGGGAAAACAAAACTAACTATTTCCCTCGGGTGCAGACATTAAGTGTATATTATTATATGGACAACGGTGTTTTACTGGAAACTAAAATGCTCGTAGAACTCATACGTCACTACATCCGGGACCAGGTGCGCGTATTTTCCGTATTTCACCCTTGGGAGTGACATACGAAGTTCGAAGATTTCCCGCCATTTTCATTGTTGTTGTTGTTTTGAAAATACAAATGGTCTTTGGTTCGTATTTAAAACGAAATTAACGTTGGAAATAAAACGAAAACATTTAAAAGACATCTTGAGATAAGTAAAATTTATTCTAGTTTTATGTTTGCACTATAATTTTAAAAAATATCGCTTTTATACTGGTCTTTCGCGTGCTTCTTTACATGTCGTCTTAGTGTGTATTCAGTTGTCACTCTGAGTAAGTCCATATAATAAACAGAACATTAAACGGTTGCGAGAAGATATGGATTTACGTTCTCGTGTCAAAAACAATATCTCACGAGTGAGCGTAGCGAACGAGTGAGATATTGTTTTTGCCACTCGAACATAAAATCCATATCTCTTCGCAACCGTCTAATATCCTCTATATAGACGTTGACTAACATAGATAATGAGTTATATTGTTATCAAATGAGTTTCCAAACCATCTATTCTATTAACTATGATTTGATCCTGCACGCTGTTGATTACCATGCTTGTCTCAGGGGACACTTCAAGATTTTTAGTCGTGCCTAACAGGTACTCAAATGATTACTGCCGCGTACTTGAGATGGTACACACGTAACACTCAAGGAGTCAAGGTGTACTTACTTAGTCTTTAAAATGGAGTACATAAAGTACAGGTTTCTGAAAGGTCAGAACAAGGACGACAACTGCATACACAAACACTAGAATCGACTCATTTCTCAGGCTTAGTCCCAACAGTCCAATAATTGTTCATACGAAGACATGTCAGACGTGTCCGTATACCGGCTTAACTACGGTTTGAATACATTGGGTTTGGTAAAGTCATATGGTGCCAGCAAAATGTAAGTACGCAAAAAGCGAGAGTTCCGCGTACCTACGTATGGTACGTGGCTGAAAACAAAGACGTACCAGACCGTACGTAAGTACGCGAATTATCTTCCGGTACGTAAGTACGCGAATTATCGCACCCTGCTGTCCTATGTTGAATCGGAGAATATCTGGACACGAAGATCGCGCTCATTCTTGATCGATGTTAACTGCGAACCTTTCAAACTGTATAAGTGGTAATCCATCCCACGGGACAATCGCAGCTAAAATGGTTACCACAAGAAGGAATCGCTGGGGAACGCCGGATTATGCCGGGCCCCAATTACAGAAGAAATCTTTGGAACGTTTGACACATTGCAACGGTATAGTCGCATAGCCAGCGACTGACAGCGAGCTGCACCACGTGATATAAGATGGGAAAGGATCTTGTCAATGTTTTGTTTCATATAATCCTCACTAACACGATACTCAATGCTCTGTCTGTCCCATCAGTGGCAGAAGCCCATGTATATGTATCATGGAAATAAGAGCCCGACTAGTATAGATAATTTTGGGATGGCACCAAATTGGTTTGGATCAATGATCTCAGGAACAGCAAGGCCAACAGGTGAGAAAATTGTCCTAGCTGCCCTTGCATATCGCGGGCGCATTGATTTAGCCAGCCAGGTTTGTTGAAACTTGAAAGCAACGAAAACTCACTGAACTGTCTTTCGGACTGCAGTGGAGCAAAAAGGAAAGCATATATATAGCAGAGTCAAACGTTGACGATAAAGCATCGATACAAGATCACAGTTAACTTGTCGCAATCAGGGAATTTTAAACAGTTATAAGAAGCCGTTGCTGCAGCATGGCCGAAAATCATGCAGTTTCTGCACAAATGGGTGTTTTTATGGCAAATAATCTCGATCAGGAACGTAATATTAATTAAGTATTACTTGAAATGTGAAGTAGGTGTGTTTATTGTCCAGAATAATGAAAAATGTTTGGTTTTCGAGTGAATTCTGCCCAACGATCATCATCAAATTTCACTATGTAAGGTATATATAGTGATAAAATTGCATATGTTTCACCTTGACTTTCTCATTGGAATATACTCACTTATTTTTCTTACCTGTTTTGTAAGACAACTGAGGAAACGATCCAGTGGGTTTCTTTGCAGGTGTACTGTCTATAGGTGGTGTTGTCTGGCTTCTTTTATAAAAATGATCATTGTTTTTATCTCCAATTAAAAAATCAGTTCTCTCTCGTTCTGTCATGCTGCGATAACTAAAAAAACGAATTACACAGTGATAGTCATCATGTATCTTTGATCAACAAATACAACTAATTACAACTTATAATATGCACTAGCAACACAAACAATTTAAGAGCAAGATGATTGCAAATTAAAAGCAAAATATATGCACGTCTAATGCACGGAAAATGGCTTACTCATGCAGTCGGGAACTAAATAAATTATGAAAACTATAATTAGTGCGTGAGTAACATTTTTTGATTCTGGCCATTCGGACATGATGCCACGCCAAGTTAAAATACCATTGATATATACTAATTTTTTCACGTTCAGTAGTGGTCAGGTTGTTAATTGTTATTAATTTAATAACTTATTAAAATTTTTACAAAACACAAAAAGAATTTCGACGTTTGTATAAAAAGGTGGTTAAAGTTAACTGCAGTTTACTACAGTTTAAAGAGTCATTGTCAACCACAATGCATTGTGCGCCCAAACCTGCTTGGCGGCCATTTTAATGGCGTAATAATAGATGTTTCGGATTTTAATCCATAATATATTACTACCATCCTATGGTTATACTTGCTCATTTTAACTTTTTTATACTAAAATTGCACCAAAGAAATGTATTTATAATCATCATTTGTTGCTATTTGTAACTTCCGAAGGTAAGATGTAAACAAATGCATTGTGGTTGACAATGACTCTTTAATGCGAAAGTTATAACCAGTCAAAATAGTGTATTTGACTACACTATACTACTACTTCTTATAATTTAACTACAAAGTAGTGGTTAAAAAGAAGTTAAGATTTTTTATAATCTACAAAGTTCGCAGTTTGTATTATTTGCAACCTACACTGCCATCCACTGTCCGTTGATGATATATGAACCTATACGTTTTAAGGTATAGGTTGAAATCTTTGCAAAATATATATGAGCCCAAATTGGTTTGTCCTGTCAATGGACAACTTGCATGTTAGACTAAATTTTAATCTAAGTAAAGAGAAGGGAATCAAACACAACAGTTAAAAAGAACATAATGAAATTAGTAAAAGGCTCAAAAATGGTAACAATTTCCGCACGTAGGCCTAATACAAATATACTGAAAATATGCAAACTAATTCGCAAGGCTATATTTTCTGTATCTTACAACATTTCGTAACCAAATTTTGCAATTTTGCTGATTTTAATAAGCTCATTACGGGAATTTACTTTTTTGCCTAAATCAAAAATTAGTCTAACATGCAAGTTGTCTATTGTACAGTCCAAAATTTGCTCTAAGGACTAAAACGCATCATTATATATAAATACTGCACGTATATATATTATTCACTTCATTATTCATTAAGATCATTGAAATAAATGTAACTATAGTATACATTGGTTAGTGACCACAACAGAATAACGGAGTAAGTTGCTGTATTAAAGGACTCACTTGCTATAAATTAAAATAATACAAATATTACCTATCTAATTCTTTCCACGCTTGACTAATTCTCGAAACTTCATCATCTAATTAAAATTAAATGTAAAGGTTGAATGATTTGCCAAAAAACAAGCCTGCATGTTATAATATTTTCTTATTTGTTATTTACTTATTGCAATTATAAATAACGTGTTTTCCCGACAAACCAATTTATGAAGAGGATAACGCGTACGATCATAGACTAGACAGTATAATATATACATAAAAACGTCGCGCATATCATGTGCTGAACCTAATATGTAACCATTTAAAACTTCTTGTTTGCATGAAAAGTTCGGCGTTTGAACTATAGGCTAAAGTCTAAATGCTTCAAAACATTTTGGTTAGAAGATTTTGAATTTTAACGCTTTTTCTATCACAAAAACCTTGAAACTAATGAGCTTGAATCAGATACTGAACTTGATATGGAACGGGCGATCAGCGATTTTTATTCCTTGTAATGAATTCAATACATTATCTGTCCTGTATAGCGCATTAAGACCACTCTTTCCAGTTATATAAGCGTTTTTCATATTCGTGCGTACATGCACAGTAAATTTTAAATCCACTTAAAATATTGTTAGTCTGTAAGTACATATAATACTTACTTTCGTTCTGAATAGACATAGAATCATTGGAATTTTCTTCATCATTTTCGAGATCACCACGAAGATAATTGTAAACCCTCGCATGCATTTTAGATGTTGAGCTCGTAGTCTGAAGAAATGTTTCCATTTCTGCCCACAGTTGGCGATACTGTTCATCCCTAGGACAAGTAAAACACACGTTTAAGGTTTCAGTAAGTGCTACAGGGCAACAGATAGTGGGATTTTGTACATGCATGGAAATTTCGAGAGTAATTTTTTGTTCTTGTATAAATGCTGTTTTGTTTACAACTATTACGGACGGCACAACTAGCATAATTAGAAACTACGATTTTCCAAGCTTGTGTTCAAATAAACAATGTAAAAGAGAAAAAAATACACAACAGGCAACAGGATATGGTGCTGAAACCGTTTAAGTAGGTTCTTTTGATTTTAAACTCGTTACACTATAGAGTTTTTGTCACGAAATACAATTGTTGTATGAATGTTGTTGAATATTGATTTTCGTTCGTCGCTATATAACAAAACTCTTAGTGTCTGTTCCCTCGGGAAATCGTTAGTTTTGTTTTCCCTCGAATCTCAATGTTTCCCTCGACTTCGTCTTGGGAAACATTGAGACTCTCGGGAAAACAAAACAAACTATTTCCCTCGGGAGCAGACATTAAGTGTATAATATATAATTATTAATAATTATTATTATTAATAATTATTATTAGCATTATTAATATCTGTATACAACGACACAAGCAAGCACACTGACACTCAGTACGATCAATACCCGAGTGCCAAGGACGTCCTCAAAGAAATACGGGAAGATAAAATCGGCAATATCGTAAATAATTTGACATCTCAAAGTCTCGTTATTAAAGCAATGTGGGAGGAAGCATTTGCAGAAAATGTCAAACATTGGCAATCGTCTAATATAAACAGCTTGCCGAAAAACATCTATAATTTTACAACGAGATACCTCAACAACACTCTACCGACCCTGAAAAATACGTCGTTCTGGAAAAGAACAACGAACAGCTTGTGCAGCGCCTATTTAAATCCTCACACCCTGCAAACATGTAGTTTCCTCCTGTCAAGTCCATTTAGAACAGGGACGTTTTACTTGGCGCCATAACTCAATCTTAAAACATTGGCTGGATATTTATCAAGTATTAAGAATAACTCCTTGATTTATGCGGATATTGATGGCTTTGACAACCCCTCGGTGATCACTGGTCTGGACGATCGCCCCGATATGTTGGTCTCAAAAAACACCAAAGTTACAATATGTATAATTGAGTTAACTGTAGACTGTGAAACTAATATAACCAAAACTTGCAAGAGAAAAGCTGCTCGTTACAAAGATCTCTGTAAGTCCTTGAAACATCGTTTTAGAAAATTAAATATTTCAATCTGTCCATGGGAGCAATCGAGATGATCAGCAAAGAATGTAAAGATTTCTACAAGTTTTTTGGATGAAGACATGCATGGTCAAAAAGTTGATCGGATGTTGTTGATCATCTTGGTCAAAAAGTTGATCGGATGTTGCATAAGAACTACGTATTATTTGTTTTGCTCTATTTTGGGGATAATGTAAATATAAATAACATTTTTAACCAATAGACTTTTTATAATTTTCTTGTAGCATAACGCTACCAAGATGCCCATGTAAAAATAGTGAATGTTGGTGGCATTTATTTTATGTATATTTTTTTTATAAATAAAATCGAGTTCCATTATTATTATTATTATTATTATTATTAATTATTATTAATAATTATTAACAATTAGTAATTATTAATAATTATTATTAATAATAATTAATAATTTCAATAGTCTGTATATGTTATTTGAGTGGAATTTTGTCGTGTGTATGTCGTGTTGTATTGTACGCTGTACTGTGTATGTTCAGTTGTTTGCATGTAGTTTGTTTTAAAATTATGTAGCCCGTATTGTGGAATTCATGGATATTTATAAACATAAATTCAGTCGCGGCAAGGTATTTGGGCTAAATATATTATATATTTATGTAAAATTTGGACGCGTTTGCGCCATATTACTATATGACGACGAGAATCATATTGACTCGCTGACGATATGATATGACGAAGATATGACGAAGACGACGGCTGCCGAAGGACTAAGGAATTGTTTTTTCTTAATACAAATAAAATACAAATGGCTTCTTCCACTGAAAGGTTCTTTACTGGCAGATAAAGATTCGTTAAATACAAAAAGATCAACAAAAGCTTCTAGAATAGATAAGAACACTCAGTTTCCTAATTCTTGTCATCTCGATTGGCTGATAAACGCGGGGGAACAAATGGACGACCGTTTATTTTGAATTTTGTAAATAAATAATAAAACAATTATTGAATTCGGTTTTCGCACAATATGAAGAATTATCAAACCCTCAGTTTGCCGTTATCAACCTCAGCCTTCGGCTTCGGTTGATAACGGCAAACTTCGGGCTTGATAATTCTTCATATCGTGCTCAACCTCATTCAATAATTGTCAATTATTTTTGCGATATTGGTCTTCTCAATCTATAGCCTACACAATGTGTTCTTGTCCAAAAAGTATTATTGCACGCTGTGGGTACCAAGCCCCGGCGTGGTCCATTGTTTGCTAAAAAGCGCGCGAAAATTCCATATTTTTACAAGCGTAAACAAAATGGTTTTGCTTTCTTTCTAGCTTTTGAATATATAATAAAACAATTATTGAATTCGGTTTTCGTATGATATCAAGAATTATCAAGACCTCGGTTTGTCTTATCGTCTTCAGCCTTCGGCTTCAGTACAGTGGATAACACAAACCTCGGCCTTAATAATTCTCGATATCATACTCAATCTCATTCAATAATTGCTTATTAGTTATTACTTATTAAATACAAGCAGCAGTCGAGTACATATTTTGATACTTGTCGCTTGAAACTGCTTAGAATAGACGGGTCTGCCGATTGTCATCAATAGTGTCGAGACACATTCGAGACACATGCGCCAATTCATTCGAAATCTTCCCAGAGAAAATATTACGTTCTCCTCTTCCAAATATAGCAATGTAACATTGGCAAACACGACAAAACTAACCAAAGGAATACGTTCTTGACACTTATTGTTCAATGTGTTTGAAGCGTACTTGACTTCACCCTTCAGACCGGAAGTGTGAAATATTAATAAATTACGTCAAGGAAACGAAATTCGACAGGTCGCACCCAGAGGTTTTCTCGGCCTCGTCGCCTCCTAAAACTCGCCTGACACCAGAAAACCTCTGAACCCAGGGTAAGCCGGGTAATTTAACGACAGGAAGCGGCTAGCCGGGTAATTTAACGATTGGACAACATTTTTAGAACAGGCTTGACAATTGTGAAAATCCGCCAGGGTTTCAATTGACAAGTGCATTAGGCCACATAAAAAAAATAGTTGGTTAGTGTCCTTAGCTTTTGCCAAAAAGTGGGCGGGCGGGCGCTTTTTTTAACTTTTACTAATTTTTAACGCCTTGGTTTTAGATCCGAAACTGGATTTTCTTGCGCAGTACAGGTATTTTTGTATATATTTCAAAATATGATTCATACCGTCATTTTCGCACGCAATTTCGCAACTTATTAACACAATTGACTACAGTCAACAGAAACACTACATATATTAGAGCCCGTTGATCAATAAAAGTTGGGGTTTTTTTAAATAAAAAATAAAAAAAAATCCTGAGCGGGGCCTTTTTTATGGGCGGGCGAGGACGCAAATCAACTAGTTTTTTTATGTGGCCTTAGTGCAGATTCCTCCGATAGCATTGTCTAATTTACAGGCATCTCATTTTAATGACGTCTTTAGACGAATCTGTCACGCCATGCAGTGCCGGGCACCAGCGGAGGGAAGGGGGATAAACCCCCCCCCCCAACACCACCAATAATTTCCAGAAAACCTTTCATTGATAGCTGAATAACTGTGTAGCAAAGCTGTGACAATAAGCATGGTACGCAATAGATTAAGCTACATATTGCATGAAATCAGGCAAGGAAGATTAAAAAATTAACTTAAGGCAACCTAACACACACACACACACACACCTCGTCCAATATTTCGCACAGTGTCCGTCACTGCGTCACGCTTCAAAACACCAAAACCGTTTTCGGTACGAGATTTTCAAATTTCTGAAATTATTTCTCAACTACTGAATACTGAATTACCGTTTAGGTCCTCTTCCTCGAAATCCCACAGAGCTAACAGGAAGTGGATCATTTCGACTTTCCATCGCTTGTAATCGATTGATCACCTGGGAAAAAAATTCGAAAAAGATTTTAAATATCAACAAGATCATTCAGACGTCAGAAATAAAATGCTAAAATATACGGGAAATGCTCAAATAATATAAAAAGCATGAGCTGTGTTGATTTACAAAATGTACCGTAGTAATTACGTTTGGCAACAATTTTGGCGATATGGTTAGTTTCAACGGAGAAAATCGAAGCTAAACTGTAAGTCGTGACGAGATTTGTATTCGATTTTATGGACTAAACATGTCATTTCTTTCAAATCAAAAGCATTATTGAATTTATTGCGTCACTTGTTTTAGCAACCACGCAGGGACAGCCGCGAATAATGCAAACTGTACGTCTTCTGACAGAAATCAAACCAGCGGTCTGCGATTCCGGTACAGCGCTCTTAATTTTTTGAATTTTTTGAATTTTATTAATAAAATATAGACTTTGCAACCATGAAGGTTGAAATACATCTATCATTTACAGGGTTGGTTGATTAGAAAAATATTGTATATTTACAAAAACATATTTACTATAATATAGGAAGAGTATAATATAGGAAGAGTTT